TTTGGGCTTGGAGGATCATCTCCTTAAGGAGCGACCACTATTTAGGTTGATCTAAATGTCCTAAATGTGAAGGCATGCAGAGGGTTAAATTGCTCAAAAAATGGTACACCTAATCTAAGTAGTTTCCCTAGATAGAGTTTGAGTTAGCCTAATCTAAGAAAGGGTTAACCTGATATCAGGAGTGCCTGTACATGTTCACAGTGCAGCCCCATGGCTGGTAAAGCCAAGCTGCTCCCATCACACCATCCAACCGCAGCAGGGTGTAGTTTTAGGTCATGCCCCAGGACCAAGAACCTCTTCCAGTCCCATAGCTCCTACCCTTTGGCCTCCAGGTGTTCTGGGAGCAGCAGCTCCAGCTATCAATGTTCTTGCTGGCTCTCTCCAGCAACTACCCACTCAGCTATGAGGGCCTGGGTTTATAGTGAGGTTGCTCAGCCCCATCTTCCAATCCAGGAGCCCCCTTCTTGTCATGTGCCTGCCTCATTGAGCTGCACCACACCTGCAGGCTGCTCCACAGCCTGCTCAAATCTCTTAAAGTGGCAGGCATCAAAGGTGCCCTGCCTCGTAATGGTTTAATGATGTGTTTTTAAATTTGGGACAGGGATTTAAATACTGATACGCAAACTTTACAAACAGAGCAATCAAACCAAAAAGCTATCAATTCTATTTCCAATTTTTTTTTTAACATTTGTTAATCTCTTTGCTTTCCTCTTGCTCTGTTTAGTAATAAGAATTCAATTTTTTTCTTCATAATCATGATTATAATGTTTAAAATGTCTATACATCTAAGTCAAAAGAAATACATGCCTGAATATGGATATGACTAATTTTGTCTAACGAATATTAGGCAACTGTCTGGATACTGAGTTTCAAGAATATCTATATTATCACTATTTAATGATTCCTTGTAGGAAACCAGATATCGTCAGCGTTATCTGGATTTGATTATGAATGAGCATGTGAGACAGAAATTTATTACAAGGGCCAAAATCATCTCGTATCTACGAACCTTCCTGGATAATCTTGGATTTCTTGAGGTAAGACTTGAGAAAATGCTTGTCATGGTGACTATATAACACTATGCTATAATGTATTACCTTATCATCACAGTACTTAGCATTTTAGTAGCTGTCATATTACCAAGATTTTCAATAGAGACGAGTGGTTTCTGGGTACCTGACTTGAGACACATTAAAGATTCCTGATTTTCACTTGGAAAACAATCAGTGCTTTCTGAAAATCTGTCCCTGTTATGGCACCTCAAGTTGGGCAGTCAAAATAATTGATCACTGATGAGGAATTTGTCTTATATGTTCAAAAGTATTGTGTAGAGAATAGGGGTAGGTGGGTAAGTATTATGCTTCTTGCTTTGGAGAGAGGAAACCAAAAAGGAACATGTAAAATGGCTAATTCAAGGCTATATAGGAAGTCAGTGGCAGAACCAGGATTAGAATTAGTATCTTCTGATTCTCAGCCTGTTGGGTCTTAGTGGCAGAGCCACAGTGTCCTGTTATGGCTTCAGAAGCAAATGAGTTAATCATCTTACTCTGAGCTAATGCCAACATCTGCCCCTATTCCAGGAGCAGCCAATCTGCAGCAAGGGTGCCACAAATAACACGGGCAGCCTCTGAGTGGCACACAACAGGTTGGGAAGGGAGAGGCAGCACAGTGGCAAATAGGTCAGGGAGCAGAAAGCAGAGCAGCAGCTTGGTCAGGGAACAGAGACTGAGCAGCAGATTGGGTAGGGGCAAAGGACTGGAATGGCACTTGGTAGTACAATGCTAATTTGTAGCATGCCTGACAAAAAGGTTGGCCACCACTGTACCCTAGTCCAGTGGTCTCCAAACTTTTTTGATCGCACACTCCTATCAGTAAAAAAATTTTGAGCACACACCCCCAATATATGTATATTTATTTATTTATAAATTATATACATGTACTACTGACTAATATATTATGTACATTATAAAGCATACACGAAAAATAGAAATTAAATCATCATTGTTTTTACCTTGTAATGTGGCTGACGAAGAGCTCGTACTAGAAGAAGTGTCAGCTCTGCCATATTCTTGTTGTTCGCTTGTGCTCGCATTATTAGTATTATCTTCAATCCGCAGTTTATTTGCAGGAATCTTTTTAAGCCACTTGTCCATTTTGTGAGGGTTAGTTTAGTTAAAACTAGATAATATAATCTGTAAATCCGCTTAACTGGGCACACGTAAACTGCAATACGTTGCAATATGATGAAAGCGAACAAACGCTTCTTCCCTCAGGGTACCTCATGTACTGTACGTGACACGTGACCGTCTGACATACAGACTGAGTGAGGGCGCCAGTGTCAATCTGTATATTAAATATTAGTAAAGCTTAATTTCTTTCTTATTTTTTTAAATAAAAAAAAAATAAAAATACAAGTTCTAATATTTTCTTCGCGCACCCCCTGGGATCGTCTCGTGCATCCCCTGGGGTGTGCGCACCCCACTTTGGAGACCACTGCCCTAGTCAACACAGCTATAAATTGATACTTGGTTATTTGAGTGGGCTGTCAAAGGTAGCTGGATGTGATGCTAACCACACCATACCTTGGTGTGCTGTTGTCCATGGAAACTCGTGTACCCTAACCATAATAGTCCATTGCCCTGGGTGAGCCTTTGTCTTTCATTGCCAGCCTTCTGTTCATTCCTTGAGATAATTTTACTGTCTTACACAGTGTATATACCATCTTTACTGTTAGTAAAAAAGACCTAATTTCCACTGATCTGAAGAAGTAGATTACTTCAGTATGTGCATGTTATTCATTTATGTATGTGTGTTTAAGGGGTTATTCATCTTCTAAAAAATTCAACACCATTCCTGGCCTTGAAAAACCTAATCAGAATTACATAGCATGGTTGTCCAAAGCAGAGCCTGAGGGATAGGAGTAGCCTGCAGAATTCTAACTTTAGCTCCCCTCCGGCCAGTTGATTGTATCTTGTGCATAGAACAGAAGTCTTCAGAGATTCCTGAACCAAAAGCTAACTCCTTTCTAATGTTGCTGTGTTCTTGGCTGCTGAGATAGAGCAATTATTAGCAGTTATTTCTAACCATATAGTAAGGAATAGATGGGTATAAGATGGTTTTACAGCCGAGTACGTGTATCTTAGATTCCTAAGGCAAAGCTCCCACTGAAATTAGTAGCGACTATGTGGGCAGGCTTGGATACAATCCTCAGGCTTCTCATAAATTGCCAGTGTGGTGCAGTGCACAGCATTGCCTGATTTAGGCACCCTCAGCTAATTCTGAGTGAGTGAATGTATTAGTCTTCTTGCATGTTACACTTTCGACATGTTAACCTCACTTACATTGCTAGCATCCAAGCATTACACAGTAAAACGTGCTAAGTGCTCTTGTAATGTAGCAAAGCTAGAGCTAGAGTACAAGTATCCTGCCTCCTCCTGCCAACTGTACTGGAGCTGGTTTGAGATTCCAGTGTGATGATGGAGTTGGGACCAACAAAAATCTGTTTGTTGGTCCCAGCTACCACAGCACAGAGGAGTATTCAATGGTTCCAGTGCTTAGGATGTGTTTTCTTTAGATCATAGTAAGCATTGTCGTGTGGCTGCTCAGAAAACTTTTGAACTCATAGTATCGCTTATTACGATCTAAATAAAAAAGTCTTAAGTGTAATGTGCAACAAGGCCCTTAGAAGCCTAATACGCAGAGTTGTAACAAATGCCTCCATTAAGCAAAATAAGTATATGTTGAATCCCAGCAATAAGTACAGTTGGGCCTTCCTGTTTTCTTCTGTAACAGTGTTCTAGAGCAGTGGTTTTCAACCTTTTGTACTAGGACCCATTTGTAAACATCGATGGCCAGTCCTGACCCAGTAAATAGTTTAAGTAGAAAACAGCCCACTCTTCCTGACAGTGCCCATCACTCCCAACCCATAGGTCCCTGACCCTCCTAGCCCTGCTGGTGTCCTTCACTCCCAACCCACTGTCCTATTTTCCAGCCCCCTGGTGTCTGGGGCAGGGTGTGGGTGTGTAGGGCTTGTGGGGTATAGGGGGCACATGCCCCCCATATTTGTGAATCCACCGTAGGTATGGGGCTGCATCCTGGGCAGACCGGCATGGGCAGGAGCTGCCTCCGCAGTCCAGTGGGCAGGACCCAGAGTGGGAGGGAGGAGCAGGGAGTGGAGACTCATTGCTGCCATTGCTAGAATCCCCGCACCTGCTGTGTTGCCTCCTGCATGAGTAACAGATGTGGGTTCCATACTGCCCTCAATTTCTTCTGTCACCAGCTGCTTGCTCCTGGGCTGCAGCTCTACCTCACTGCCATGGCCCAGCTGCTGCCACTGCAATGGCAGCATGCTCACTCTGTCTGCCACCCCACCTACCCTCTGAAGTAGGGTTGCGGCCTGAAGGGAGCAGTGGCAGCAGCCAGGTCATGGCGGTGGGGTAGAGCCATTGCCTAGTGCATTGAGCAGCTGGTGGCAGAAAGGCTGCATGCTCTCCCCTGTCTAGTACTCCTCACATTTCTGGTGGTATAGTTGGTGCAGGGGTCCTGGTGGTGGTGGGAGCACCGAATCGTGATGCCCTGCTTTGCCCTACCCCACTAGGTCCTGCCTGCTGGGATGCGGAGGCTGCTGCTCCCCATGCCAGTGTGGCCAGGCTGCAGCCCTATGCCCCCAGTGGGCGCACAAATCTGGGGGAGCATATGCCCCTGGACATGTCACCTGTGCTTCCCCCACCACCCTGACACATTGTCTGTGTTTCCCTCACCCCGTAGACTTACCTGCAGGGAGCTGTGGGAGGTGCTCTTCACACTTCCTGGCTGCTACCTGCATATGTGTGCGAGCACATTCACTTGGTGCCCTCTACCTGATTGCCCTCCTCCCGCTCCCCCAGCCTCAGCCAGCTTCTTGCAGGCTGGAACTCAAGCAGAGACCTGAGATTTCCCACATTTTTCTCCTTTAAAGGAGAAAATCCATGTTTTTCTGTGGCAAATGGAAAACCTGGATCCTTGTTTATTAGTAGACACAGCATTAACATACAGTGAAGCACAAGGAGCATCTATTTTTTTTCAAAAATGTATGCAAAATATGATCTTTTAAAAAAGTTTATTCATGACCCTTTTGTATATTCTTGTGGTCCACTTTTGGGTTTCAACTCACGGGTTGAGAAATGCTGTTCTAGTACACTGCGCCTGCCACCAAGAATGTCTGCTTTTTATTCTCTTGTACATTGCCATTAAACAGTGAGGTTTTAATATTCAGCTCAACACTGGGATTTTGTGCAATAAAAACAACACAAATTAACAAAGAAACACACACTTTTACCTGTAGAAAGTAACTGCCTTTTATTTTGGGGTGAAAACAATGCTGATGGTTAGGACGAATGTAGTGCAGAAATGTTTTTTGGCATTAGTAAGAATCTTCCAGTGAAGGTCATGTTAAATATATTCACTCCCTCTCTTATTTAAAAAACAGTTATTATTTAGAAAAGTTAATCTATTTCTTGAATACAGTAATGCGAAATAATTCCTTACTTGAAGTCCCACTGAAGCATCCCTGTAGAAATAGTTAATCTCTCAGTTTCCAGCCCATCCTTCTACTTCTTTCCATTATATAAAGCAATTTCTCTTTCATGGATTTTAAAGCCAGAAATGGGCCATTATAATAATTGAGTCTGACCTTGTGCATAATGCAAGAGACAGAATTTCATCCAGTGCTTTCAGGACCCATCCCATAACTCTGTTGGGCTATAACCTACGTGTTAGGAAGATAGTCAGTCCTTTTACTCTTTTAAAGGTGGAGACTCCCATGATGAACATGATACCTGGTGGTGCTGCAGCCAAACCCTTTATTACTCATCACAATGAGCTCAACCTGGACTTATACATGAGGATAGCTCCTGAACTATATCTCAAGGTACAGTGATTGTCTAACATCAGGTAATGCATCTAGCAAAGATATTTAATGCTCTTACTGTTTCACAGAACAAGATTTCTCACATATGTACTGACTATTGCCTGCACAATGTTCTTAAAGTTAGGCTATGTTTGAGAAGTGGGCTCTACCACCTATCGCTAATTTTCTATCACTTCTGTTTGGAAAAGTAGTAAGTTATTGTAATATCCCTCTCACATTGTGGATACATCATGATTTGAAGCACAATCCTTTAACTTATGCAGGCTATTTATACTTAGGAGAAACAAATATCTGTACATAACAAAACACTTGTTTTTAATGAAAGCACAAAATCTAAATTCAGTTTTTAAAATATTGAAGACCCCCAATTCTTGAGCCCTCACAGAGGAAGCCAGCCACTGGCCACACCTCCATGAGATGCCCACTGTGCAGTTGTTACTGCACAGTCATTTAGTACTTGCATAACCAAGTACTAAATGACTGCGCAGTAACCAGTAAATAGCGCTTCATTTAACATATGTGAAGATTAGAGCTAACTTGTCTTCATTTGAGTCTTGTAACACAGAAATGATTTTCTTTTAGAAGACAGTTTCACAAGGAAATGTCTGGTTCTTCTTCTTAGATGCTAGTAATTGGAGGTCTGGAGAGGGTATATGAAGTTGGACGCCAGTTCAGAAATGAAGGAATCGATCAAACCCACAATCCAGAATTTACAACTTGTGAGTTCTACATGGCTTATGCAGATCACAATGACCTCATGGACATCACTGAACAGCTGCTGTCAGGTATGCCCTTGGCAATAATTGTATTCATTAATGAGTAAGCAACTTGAATGTCTGAGGTTACTGTTAGTCACACACCCACCATGAAGGTGTCACAGGTGTAGCAGGGCAGTTCCAGCCCCAGTGCAGCCACAGCACATGGGGCAGCGCTGGCTGTCATGGTTCTGAAGGTGTTGAGATCAGTCGCTCCTGTCACTGTGGCTATTTTGTCTGCTTCCCCCCAACTCCCATACAACCGTGGCATCCAAGGCTGCTGACCCAGTCACCTCTCCCTTCGCCTTAGTTGTGCTACTGTGCGTTATAGACAGAGGTAAATAACATGTATACACCAAATGGAAATGCAATCACTTGCAAAAATATAGAGAAGGGAGAAAGGATTAATACATTTTCTAGTTTGAATGATCCTGAACAATAAGACTTGGGAAAAAAGATTTGAGAAGGAAGGACACCTTTTTTGTTGACATTTGTCTTAAAAATAAACTACTGTACATCACATAAGGTATGGAATAAAAATATCTTTTGTTCTTAACAGGCAGTGTATTGCATGTTATATTAGGGCTGTTCATCTAAAAGTCAGGAAGTTAGTCAGATTAAGATGACTTTTCTGATAACCTGGTGTCTGACTTCCCCTAAGGCATGGTAAAGCATTTGACAGGCGGATATAAGATCACTTACCATCCAGATGGCCCTGAGGAAAAAGGAGTAGAAATTGACTTCAGACCTCCTTTTAAACGAGTCAGCATGATGGAAGAACTGGAGAAAGTACTCGGAGAAAAGTTGCCAGCACCAGAAAGCCTGGATACCGAGGGTGCGTTTAATATACTTGGGCTTGTCTCTAGATACTTAATGGTGTGATGAATTAAATTGTAAGCCATTTTCATTTTTAAATTGTTAAGCAGACCATTAATCAGTCACAAAAGAATCATTGATTCAGATGATGTACAACTGCATGAGGTTCCCTTGCTTTTTAGCCTGAACTACTGTTGCTCACTAATAGTCTCTGTGCAATTTCAGCACACTTGTAGGGAAAGGAGATGTATTTATTATGGAATTTATGATTTTCCATGCAAAGCTGCTTTTCTTTGCTTATCTTCATTTTTCTGTTGGATTTTCCTGGATAAATAAACTCTTCTGTTTTCTGGTATCTGCTAGTTTGTGCTTGAAAAATGGAAGTATGGGTATGGAGGAAATACATTTTTTCTGCAGTGAAGTGAAAAATAGCTAAACTTTTCAAACTTTGGGCACCAGTACAAACTAAACAGCTATGATGGTGATAAAGAAAACTTATTCAATAATTTCAAAGCTTTATACTGGTGCATAGGCACACTATTTTAATTCATATGACTGTACTGGAATGATTTCTACTTAGATCCATGAGATTTTTCAGATATTTCTTCCTGTCTTCTTAGCTTGTTCATGTATTTTCTTTTGATACAGAAGTAGTATAAAAGTAAATAGTAATAAAAAAGCATATGCCCAGTACTGGATCTAATTGTTAAACATTATGCAAGGAAAGCAACTGATGCTGCTGTAAAACATTCATAATCCTCCGATGGACTTGAATTGAACACCAGATAATGAATGGCCCCGGACTGAATACACAGCTGTGATTCACTTGAGTCTCTTTGTTGACATGGTAATATTAATGAAACAGCAGAGTCTGATGTGCATCTGATATGCATTTAATGTGCATCTGTGGCTTATATAACATGGAACCATGGCTTAAATGGTAAAGTTTTCAGTGGGACACATAATTAAGATCACAATTGCGGTAAAATTCTGTTTACATTTTTAAGAAGTGTAAAGAAAACACATTTGGATAAATAGAGATCAAACTAATTGTGGGGAGAAACTCGAGAGCACTATTCAAGATAGAGAACAGAATTGCCATTCAGATAAAAGGAGGCTGCAGTGAAACAGCTTGGATAAACATGACTGCCTTGGAAATGTTTTCAGGTTAGGTCACAGTGGGGTTTAAGATAAGGAATCAGACACATGATCCCACTCTGGAACTACAGTCTCATCAGAATTATCTTACTCCTGTGACCTCCAGGTAAATGCAGGTCCAGAGCAGCTGGAGGAAAATATTGCTCCCTGTTCCCTGGATGGATAATGATTGCATATAATAAGTCTGGTTCAAATACCTGACACTTCTTGCTAGCTTTAAATTCTCTAACATTTTCTTTTGAAATCCTGCTCCTACCTCCATTATATGGGCAATTATAAGCTCAAGAATTGTCTTAGCTCTTTTTCTTATATGCAAACATTTAAACTGAGAAGCAGCAGTGGATACTGAATGTTGAGAGGAAACAAATCTTTAGGTTTTCCTCTATGGCAAATAAAATTCATTCATGACTGAACTCTTTTACTGACACATACATTAATGGTTATCCCCTTTACCTGCAGAAGCCCGACAGTTCCTTGATCAGCTGTGTGTGAAGAACGAAGTCCAGTGTTCTCCTCCGAGGACTACAGCAAGACTTTTAGACAAGGTTTTCTTTCTTATGCTTTTTTTCTCTTGATTATCATTTCTGCTACATTTTCCAACTTTTAGGGCTTGCACAGATGACACATTTACACTGGATGTAATCAATATTACACCAGTGTAAAAAAGGAGTAGGGAGATAATATATACTCCTAAACTGGGAAACTTCACCCAATCTAAAACTACACCAGTGTAAATTATGCTGGTATATATGCTGACCCCAGCTTACCCAAGGATAGCTGCTTGTCAAGGCAAGCAGGTCTTGCTTGCTTCCTTATCACCTACTGGTGAGGCATTGCAATAACACCTATTACCTGTAGCTACCCTGGGAAAGATTGTGTAGTCACATTGGATCCAAGTGCCAGTTACATTGGTATACAAAACAAGTTACATAGGTAAAAATGTCATCTTCTATATTCATATGTTTATTATTTACTTAATGTTATAGAAAATGTTCTTCTGCTATGCTGCATATATTGGGATGAAACTAATTCATGTCCCTGTACAGATCTGTATATATTATACTGTAAGTGGGTCTTTTACTTTCCTGCCTTTTGGAAGCCAGTTAGCTCTGATTTAGGCAATTGAATTCCCATCAAACAGCAAACTTCAGTCTCACAGCACAAGCCAAACAAATCAAAATCCTTCAGCCTCTCTGGGCATTAGGAGAAGAGCCACTCTGCTTTATTTTTTTCCCCTAGCGCAGCAGCCAGGCTTCTTCTTGCAAGGTGTTCCCTCACAGCTTGATCTCTTCTACTCTCTTCTCTGGATTTTTAACCTCCCAGTGGGACATTCCCTCATTAGGGCATCCTTAATAGGGCTGGTTGCCCCTTCTTACAGAGTGGTTACCCTGTTACATACACACATAAGAACATTGGATGTACTATTCTGTGTTATATTACATATATACACAAACATGCACACAAATATCTAAGAAGTCAGAGCCTGGTGTGTGTGCAAGAAAGCCAGTCAGTGAAGATGAAATTTTACATCTTCACTGACTGGCTTTGTTGCATGCACACCAGCCTCTGGCTTCTTTCCTATTCATTCCATCCAGGAAGAGCACACACCAACTGCAGATGCTTCTCCAGCCTGACAAAGGGCATTTGTATCTGGAAGTTTGCAAAGAAGAATTTTTCCAACTATTCGAGTTGGTTTAATAAAAGATATCAGATTTACCCAAAGAACCTTGTCTGCCTACTGTCCATCTTCAACACTGAGAAATGTAAAGTGCTCCACCTCGGATGAGCAACTCCCAACACACCTATAGGCTTGGCAGCACCAAACTGACTAGCACCATGAATGAAAGGGATGTGGGGGTAATAATAGACCACAGCATCAATATGAGCTGGCAGTCTGATGCTGTAGTCAGTAGGGCAAATAATACTCTGACATGCATCAAATAATGCATCTCCAGTAAGACTAAGGAGGTGATTCTTCCACTCTACTCAGCACTGGTAAGACCACTGATGCATCCAGTTCTGGTCACCACACTTTAACAAGGATGGAGACAAGCTTGAGAGGGTCCAAAGAAGGGCAACCCGTATGATCAGACTCTTAAAAGGCAAGCCATATGAGGAAAGGCTAAGGGATCTGGGTCTCTTCAGCCTGAGGAAAAGCAGGCTGAGAGGGGACCTGGTAGAAGCTTACCACTACACTAGAGGCATCAAGGGCTTGGTGAGCATCTGTTCACCAGGGCACCTGAGGAGAAAACCAGGAGTAATGGCCACAAACTCCTGGAAGATTGATTCAGGCTCAACATTAGAAAAAGCTTCTTCACAGTCAGGGTGTATAGACTGTGAAATAAAGCTCCCTCCAGAGGTGGTACAATCACCTACCATGGAAATCTTCAAGAGGAGACTAGACAGTCACTTTGCTGGGGTCACCTGACCCCCAGTTATCTTTCCTGCTTGGTGCAGAGGGCTGGACCCAATGATCTTCTGAGGTCCTTTCTGGCCTTACAATCTATGAATCTTAGGTTGGACAGTATTCTTGGCTGCCTACAGATGTGTACAGTGCAGCTATTATACCATATTCCATACAGTGTACTCATGGCTCACTATGGAGATCAGGCTGGGATTTTTAAAGTTTCCAGAAAACCTCAGTCTATCTATATGAATACATTGTACATTTCTTCTTCAATTTTTTACTCTTACTTGCTCAGCTTTCTTATTAGTGAATCTCTTCTGTCTTTCACTTAGAGGGTGCATCTACATGAGATGCTTTACCACACACCAAATTAATTTGCTGCACAGTAAAACGTCACCCTCTCCACATGCATGGCAATTAGGGTGCAGTAGACGAATTTACTGCGTAGCTAGATAGTCCCGTCAGATTCAAGTGGTACCTGGCAGTGCAGTAAATTACTGTGTGTAAATGCCTGCATAGAGGGGGATGTTGGAATTAGTAACTCAAATTGAGCTGGAGTATATTCAGTTGTACTAATTGCACATGTAGACACACTGAAAGTAGCCAGTACCTTTTCTCCATTTATACCCTCTTAGACTGTACTGCCACTTTTGAAAGCAGTCAAATTACCTTTGTTATTTGAGACTGTCCCTCTTGGGCTTCATAGTCTCTGTATTCTCCTGACTTTACTACTGCTTTAATGTATTCTTAGTGCTTATTTTGATATCTCTTCCTCTTATGTTTTTTGTCAATTTCTTATTTCAATGAACCCCCCAAGATAGGGATAGGTAGTGACCTACTGAATTCATGGCACAAGTGGGCTGCACAAGCAGCTCCTTTAATTTTGTAGGTTCCTCTGTGCACTGTCCTCTCCCCACAATTGCTGATTGACTGAGGGCCCCCTGTGGCCCTGCTGCTTGCTGCTGACAGGCCAGGAGGCAAAAATGGTGCCATATTTAAAACTGCAGTTTTTGCCTTCCTGCCAATCAGGAGCGAGTGGTGGGGCCCCTCTGCCAATCAGCCAGGGCCGGGGGGTGCACAGGGGAACCTACAAGATTACAGGAGTTGCCACACAACCCATTTCCACTGTGAATTTGGTAGGTCCTTAGGCATAGGAATTAAAAGGTTCAAAAAATGTGCCTCCAAAATGGTTTAGGGCATACTAACATCTTTGAAAGCTAAGTGTGCAGGATCAACTTGGTCCCGAGAAGATGGGAATAGTCCCACAATTATTTGGTTGGATTTCAACTCTGCTGGTACCATTTGGGAAAATGGAATATTGGTGTGCACGAAGTGAAATGAAAATAAATAGTAAAACAAGTCTCTCCCTCTTTCTCTCTCCCCAGTTGGTGGGTGAGTTTATTGAAGTTTCCTGCATCAACCCCACATTCATTTGTGACCACCCCCAGATCATGAGTCCACTGGCTAAATGGTATGTTACTGAAATAGTGTTGGGTCTTTACTTGTCTTAGCCATGTATTCAACTTATTTCAGTGTTCAGAAAAGATACTTGTGTGTATTGACAGTTTTCAATGAAAAGTCTGACTTCTGTTCTTATAAACTTTTATATTGTGGTCTGCTATTTTTTTAAGGTGCTTTTTTTAGTATTTTGAGTTTCAGCAGAATGAATCCCCTCAAAGGTATATATACTTCGTGGAGCTATACTTAGTCATAGTTACCATAAATATACATAATAGACCCAGCTCTTTGTGAGTGCTGTTTAGGTTATTCACATGTCAGAATACCTTGATTGCTCCCATCAATCAGCTATGGAGGTATCTAATTTACATTTTGCTAACACTTACTTGATCCATAAGGCAAGTGAAGGCTGAGTTGCAATGTGATTTTAAATGTTCCCAATTACAATTTATTTCCAGACTCTTGGAGAAACAGCCCTAGTAAATGACACTGTTTCATCCTCCAAGGGGAAAAGTTTTTTTTCCCTCTTGCAATAATCTAGGCTAATGTGTTTTAATATAGGAAAATGTACTTTAATCTCTGTGAAATTATCACTGTTATTATTTTTAGCAGTGAGATTTTTTTCCCACAATTCTAGTAAGAAGAATGTGGTAGTTTTACATCAGAAAATAACGGCAATGTGATATAATTAAATGGCTTTTTTATAAATTAGAGGAAAGAACTTCTAAAATGGAGCCTAAGCCTTGAACTATACGTATAAGTTGAATCCTTCACTGGAATTCCTTGATCCCAAAAAGTAGTGGGATACTAAATTGTTAAAGTGTACCTGATGATTATTTCTGTTTCTTGCTAACTAGGCACCGTTCAGTGAAAGGACTGAGTGAACGTTTTGAACTCTTTGTCTTGAAAAAGGAGATCTGTAATGCATACACTGAGCTCAACGATCCAATGAGGCAGAGAGAGCTCTTTAAAGAGCAGTCTAAGGTAAAGCCACTACAAAATCATAACAGTATTTACTCAAACATTATATTAAACATCAGTGAGTGTAAACTTTTTCTGACTTCTGGAAAACTTTTTCTTAAAAGTTAAGAACTTAAAAAAATCACTTAAAAAAATTAATAGCTACAAAGCAATATTTTGTTGAGCCACATGCTGATAGCTCAGTGTTCTCTGCGCTGAACTGAAATACCAAATGGAGTAATCTCCTTTGCTTAGCTTAGATAAAATCCTCACTTTAAATGTGTTTGCTTGCTTTATGTTGAGTTTGGTTAAAATAGTGCTTCAAAAACTGATTCTATTCTGTCCGTATATAGAGAGAAAGAGAAAAAAATATCTTTGACTCCACAGTGAAACCTCCAATTGGTCTCTCAGTTTTACTATATTCGCTTTGTTCTATTAAAGTAGTGGATGTTGGCAAATATTTGTAAAAAAAATGAAGAATTATACTTCGCAATTATCGCAGGAGTTACACGTTTACCTTTGAACTTTCTGTTTCTTATGAATTATTTACCTTATCATCAATAGAAAAAGGTCAGGGTACTTCCAATGAAATATCTGTGTTGATCAGAAAATATACATACTACATGGTGTAGTTACTTTTTGTTCATGGTTGTTTTTTTTTAAATTACCATGAGGTATCATGGAGCTGAACTCATCTTGTAGAGAACAGTAATACAGCGGAGAACAAGGAAGTAAATCAAGCTATGGAGGTCCTTTATTTCACTGACAAGTTTTTACTGAAAAAAATTTCTGAGAAACTCCCTTTCTGATGATTAAAAGACTGCTTTGACTTTCTTATTTGTCATTGGCTTGATTTAAAAGCTGCAGCATGGCTAAAAATGTTTTTGATTCCAAGTACTATTTAGCATTTGCAAGCTTTTTCTAGAAGTCAGAAAAAAGTGTTTTCCACTAGAAAAAAAAGAAAAATATTGTTCTAAATCATTTGGATTTTCACTCCTTTTGCTAATAGTGAGACTTTTAGGGCAGGTGTAGACGAAACGGGGGCCCTAAATTGAAGCGGTGGTTTTTTAAAAACCCTGCTTCAATTTAGGGTCCTTTAAACCCCTGTGTTGTGCACACACCCCACTGCACACACCGGCAGCAGGGAGGGGAAGGCGAGCTGCCTGTGGGCGGAGTGGTCCCTGGGCTGCACGGCAGGGGGTTAGTTTCAGCAGTGGTTGTCAATGAATAATCAGTATGTCACCTCAAATGTTCTGAGGCACTAATTTAGCTGATACCATACAATTTTTAGTACCGAATTACACCTTAGCACTGAAGTTACAAGTGTGTAGAACTTTTGCAAAGAGATATTTAAGATGTCTGTATATTGTTTTGTGGACTTAGGCTAAAGCAGCAGGTGATGATGAAGCCATGAGCATTGATGAGAATTTCTGCATAGCACTGGAATATGGCCTCCCTCCTACTGGTGGTTGGGGAATAGGGATTGACCGTCTTGCCATGTTCCTAACAGACTCCAACAACATTAAGGTGAGTTTGCCAAGTAGGAGCAAAAAACAGAGAAGTAGTTTCATGCCCATGGGGATTATGCCTTTCAATTTTTTCCCTCCAGGCAAATATTGTTTTGCTTCAATTTAGGTCTTTGTTTACATAGCAAGCAGATATGAAGGTATGTCACACACACAGTGCTTCCTGCTGCAAATATTCCCCATCCTGTGAGGCATGCTCTGTCAGTCATGAAGATCTATTAGGGCATCCCATGCAAATGAAAATCAGGCCCTATATTCCTGCTTTCAATCTGAAGCCAACCAAAAGCATTAACCAGTGTTGCCACTTCTTACAGTAAAAAAAAGATGCTAGGATTGCATGACTTGCACTATTTGATGTTTGCCTTAGGCAAACATCCTGGCAGCATGTGGTTTGGTGGGTTTAACCTTCTTTTCTTCTAGAAAATTAAATTTGTAGTCCTCAGGGTTGTTTGAAAATATGACCAAGAGCACTGAGGCTCTAACACTGCAAGACCTGAAAAACAAACTTAAAATTTGTTGTTTTATAAAAACATGAGTTTCAATCCAATCAGGGGCAATGTGTAGGGCGTACACGTGCACCTCCTGAGCATGGCAGTGCATGGTCACCGCTTGCCACCGTGCTGCAGACACCGACACGGCTGGTGGTGGCTGCGGGCGGTCACTGACCCTTGGTCAGTGCTTGTCACCCCTTCCCCCTGCCGCCAACTGTGCTGGCGGCATCTGCGGGAACTCCCCTGCTTACTGCCGCCACTCCTGCCACCAGCGTGCCCCCCCAGCCGCTGGGGTACAAGTTGTTCATTAATCCAATCTCATGATTTGTGGGGCAGCTTGTCTCCTGATATTTGCAGAACTTGGGGGTGGTAACCTTTAATGACATTTATTTTTGTATCTTGCTTTAGGAAGTGCTGCTCTTTCCAGCAATGAAACCAGTTGAAAACAGACTTCAGTCAGAAGAGAAAACTGCAGCCTAGAGGCATGAGAAGAACTAGCCTTCTTGCCAGAACTTTTGTTAAAGGAAAAGTACTAATTAAAAAAACATTTATTTTCAAAGTATAGTGCATAATCAAGACTACAGAGCTTAAAATGAAATGTGCCAGCTGCATTATAAGTATAAGCAGATTAGTGATGATTTTCCTTTGCCATGACTATCTGTTCCATACTCCTATTGATGATAAAACCCATGGACAGCATGTTTTTAAAAATGGCAGTATGGTGTCTGCTCATAAAAATGGAATAGATAGGTAGTAGCAGGGAAACATTATGAGCTATTTCACAAGTCTGTACACCTGACAATTCTTAATCAAACCAAGCATCCTTTTGTTTTTAGTTTTTGTTATTGCTGCTGTTGAAATCTGTTACTGTTGACTGGCTTGAAATCTGGTCTAGTTCTCATTTCCAAGTAAAGCAGAATCTTAAGAGTTGGGAAACATCAACACAGCCTTAGAAATGGGATACGGTATTGAATCAGCTGCTTTCAGGAAAGTGACACAGGGTTAAATATGGGTCATGTGCCCTTATTCTTTAAGCTAACTTTTTCAAGATTGACATGGAAGGCCCATATTTGTATCTACAATAGAAATAACTAAAGTTACCATGTGGTGATATGTCAAGTACCATTATTTGAAACTTGATTGCTGCAGAAACAGTTGGCAAATGTTGACTTTAATGGGTATTTGTGATAAGTAAAATGTTGGGCTTGTTAGCCCTGACAAGCTTCCTTTTATCTAAGGAAGGAAACCAGCAAAAGAAACTGGGCACATTTATCCTCTGTGTCACTGGACGGAAGTTGATGGATATAAACCTAGCTCGATCAGTCCTCATTTATAAACCTCAGTCTCCCTTTAGCTTTTTTAGTATAATCTGACCACCTTTCATACAACCTAGTAAAAGCCCCAAATCCTTCTATATTTACTAACATAGTTAACCAGCACATGCATGCTTTGTGTGTAGTGAGCAATGTAGGCAGTTGCAGTGACAGGAGAGAAAAATGGAGTCCACGATTGAGGGTGGCACGGGATTTGATAGCTAGGTGGGCTTACCTGCTTGAGAAGTCTGAGAGAAAAACAGCAATATCTGCTTTGAACCTGAGGCCTAACTGCTTATGCAGACAACCAAAATTATATATAGACTGAATGCTGTGCTTTTGATTACAAGTGTACTTAAGGTCATGTGAACTATAATCTTTTATAGCTTATGTAAGTTACACGTTTATGCTAAGCTTTGCAGAAGCAAAACACAAGCAAGTGAAAATTTAGGCAAACAGTCTCTTTCAGTGTGACCAAGAAGGGTATGTGGGATAGGGGAGAGAATAAAAAAATGTATTGGCATGTGTACACCAGGCCATGTGGGAAGGAAATACAAGATTCTTTCTCTCAAAAGCCACATTATCCTGTCGTGACACATCTTGTCCAATTGCTGTGTTGCAAGGTACTCTGAAAAATTAGTTTGGGTTAGTTTGTCAGAGTTGTCACCGCTGCCAAAAAAAATAAAAGAAAAATTCAGAAAAGAAGAGGTAAAGTTGCCTAAGTTAAAGACAACAAGAGAAACAGCCTTAGCGAGTGAAGAATCTATAGCGATGCTGGCGCACAGGAAAAAGACCAAGAAAAAACCAAAGACATCTGCAGACTTCAGCTAGTGGTATTGTAACAGTTTATTTTTTCTATTGAGGGTATAACTGATTTGTTTGTATTTGTGTGTTGTTGCTAATAAAAAGGATTTTAATTTTAAGTCTTGGTTCCATTTCTCCATCATAGCTGAAAGTTGAGGTTCATGTGCAACACTCCCTATTAAAAAAAAAGAAAGAGGCCTTCTCCATTCTGTGTCCTTTAGCAGAGGAGATACTGCAGCAATTGGCACAGGGACAACAGCCCCAGGCTGTCCTCTTGTAACTTCTGCAGGATGAATAGAGGCAGCAGGAGATCCTGTGGGTGTCTCAGCAAGTGTAAGAGGTCACCTCTTTCTGTCAGCCAGAGAAAAATGACTGGGCTCCTGTTTAGTGTTTTCACAATGCTTACTAATGTTCAAACACATTTTAAAAACTAAACCCAAGGTCTATGCTGGACCAAATGAATGATAGGTTACTAAAAAGAATGAGGCAAACATGACAGTGTTGGTAGAATGTGTCTGGTGTGAGAAGATGTTACACTGGTTGCTAAATTTCTCTAATAGGGAACCATCTGCTTCTTCAGCTCTGTACACAGACAGCAACTACTTTTATTTATCTTCATGCACTTGGTCTGAATTCAGTAGTGGCATGTGTATAACACTTACGCTTAATTTGTCCTGGTTAGCTTCAGTTCTGTTTCTAAGATTGTATGTGCTCCTTCATTTGGCAAAATTAGCTATGGAAAAGTCCAATCTGAATTTTGTACAATGCAAATCAGTCAGTGATATGCTGCCAGTATATTTATACAAGCTCCTTGGCAGGGGAGAAAACACATTTTATCTGTAGTCTGATATGCCCAGGGCACAAGGATGCTCATGAGGTGTAGAAAAAAGGAGTATAGCTCCAGAATTGATATGAATGTGTTTAAATAAACAAATTGTTAAAGACATCACTTACGCTTCACTGCAAACCAAAAAACATTTGACTCTTGTCTGGCCTCTACTCAAGAAATGGTGTTTGATGTTAACTCCCTGACCAGTTATTGCCCTGTCTCCAACCTCTCCTTTTTGGGAAAAGTCACTGAATAGGCGATTGCCTGACAGCTCCACGTGCATCTGGCTGTGATCAGCTTCCTGGCTGGGTGTCAGTTTGGCTTTTGCCTTGGGCATAACATGCAGACAATCCTTGTGGCTTTGCTCAATAGCCTTTGATTGGAGATCAGCGGGGGAAATTATGTCCAGCCAATCTCGCTAGATCTTTCAGTAGCCTTTCAAACAGTTGTCCATAAGGTGATGATACAGTGTTTCCATGACTTGCTGGATATGCATGGGACTGCTTTTAATTGTTTTTACTTTCTTCTTGCAGGGAGGTTCCAGAGGATAGTGATGGGTGACAGCCATTGTCATCCCTTCAAGACCTTCCATGTGGAGGTCCCCCTAGGGCTCCATCCTGTTGCATCTCCTGTTAAATGTATAGTTGGGCTGCTGGATGACACTGAGAACTGGACGGAGGTGCCATCAGTATGCTAATGACACCCAGCCCCTTTATGCTATCTCAACTGACCCAGGCCCCCAGTCTCTGTCCTTTCCTAGTGTCTGGCTGGAGTTGGGAGATCAAATGTGGATGAACCAACTGAAGCTGAATCCAGGCAAGACATAGCTGGGTGGAGGGGAGAATCAAATACCTATCATTGATGGGGACTTCAGCCTTCCATTCTCTCTTAGGTTCACAGGCCTGGGGGTCTCCCAGAACGTCTCCTGCACCTGGATCCCCAGGTGGTGGCAGTGACTAGGAGTGCTTTTTCATCTACTCCATCTAGTGAGAAAGCTGAGCCCCTTTCTTTCAGAATCAGATCTGGCCATCATCATCTGCATTTTCAAAACCTCATGTATGCAACCAGTGGCCAGCTCCAGATGTGAGGGCATGTGTCGTTTGTGGCACCACAAACTGCACATTGCACGTTAAACCATGCCCCATGCTGCTAATTTGCAGCACTGTGGCAAAATTTGATACCAGGATTTCTTGATAGCAAAAAAACCCTGCAAAAATCCCGAGGAAAAAAGGGCAAAGCATGCCAAAGGGCTGTATGCCGGGACAAATGCAGAGATGGGAAAACAAGCAGCCGGGGGCTGCCTGCTCCCCCATCACTGCATACTGCGGAGCCCCCACACTGGGGTAACCTGTGCCTCAGCAAGCCAGGGAGCAGCACAGAGACAGGGGAGCAGACAGCCAAGGGAACTTCCTGCTCCCCCGTCTCAAGGCACCCTGCACCCAGGGAAGTGACTGGCTGGGGTGCAGGGTGCCTCAGTGCAGGGGCTCCGTAGAGCATGGAGACGGGGGAGCGGGCATCCCTGGTCTGCCTGCTCTCGTCTCCATGTGTCACTCCCTGGCTGCCTGGAGCACAGGGTGCCTGTGTGGGGGCTGCCTGTTGGCTAGCTCTGCACCATGCCCCAACCAGCCCTTTCCACAGCACGTGGAGCAGCAGGATGATGGGTCCACAGCAAACTTCATTAGCAGTGGCATGCACTGCAGCACATAGTGGCACAATTTGTGCCACTATTGTTTGTGTTGCTGCAGATGCACACCCCTGCTCATGTGGACATAGCCAGTGTGATCTACGTGGGACTGCCCTCAGTGACTGTCCAAAAGCTGCAGTTGGTGCTGAATACGGTGGTCTACTTTATGTCTGTGCCCTACATACTTAAGGGACCATCTTCTCCTTGATGCCTCAGTTTGATTCCCTAAGATGAGCCTAGAACAACCTCCTGCAAGTACCATCAATGCACTGAGTTGTTTTGGCAATAACACATGGAAGGTCATTCTTGGTACTTGCCCCATAGCTCTGGAACTCCCCCAGCCTTAAGGCCTGCCAGGGCCTGAGCTTGGACATCGTTTAGAAATGCTGTAAGACCTTCCTATTTGGGCAGGTGTTTAGCAAGCAGGGCTAAGCTGGGATACAGGTTAGGGAGGGAGTTGCTTTAGAGTTTATTTTAATACTCTATTGATTTTTATAAGTTATTTTGTTTTTCTTGGTTTTGGTCTCTGGTTCACTTGTTTTATGAGTTATTTTGCTGTCCTGAGCCTTTGTTGGAAAGGGTGGCATATAAATCTAATTAATACATGAACAAACACAAGAAAGCAACCTGTGGAGGACCACACGAAAGAGATCAAAAGTTGCAGGACTGATGTCCTTATCTACAAGTACTCCAAAGACTGTTACTGGATTTTTGGTGGGGTTTATTGAGAGTCTAGAAATCAGTGAGACATATCAAACTGACAAAATTATCTTATTGGTATAATTTACATTTATGCCACAGTTTCCTATAAAATTTCACATATCACAATAGGAAGCTGTGCTTTCAAGCAACTCATCATGGCCATTTAGTGATTTATTTTCAGAATCCCCATAACACTGCTCACACCAACCAGGCTCCTTCTGCTGGAAGGTGTGTGGAAGACAGCATCCTCTAGCTGTGTCTCTCTCTGTCTGACTGGGGCTAGGATGCTTGTAGTTCCTTGCTCTATTGACTTTTGTTTTTTTTGAGAAACTACTAAAATCTGAGCACTTTTCATCCTAATATGCGTCTGATGGCCATAGCGTATAACACAGAAACAAACAAGTTTCTCTTCATTAAATACCACATTTCTTATTGCAGTATATGTAAAATCTGAACAAGGAAAAAAATATTTGAAAGTTTGGAAGACAGATGTTGGGTGCAGTGAGACTGCAGAATTACTATTCGACATTAACTGCTTTTTGTGTTTTTCCTATGTCATGATTTTTTTGACACAAATTATAGCAAATCATGTCATTTCCATTAAAAATACACACTTTATGACATGCTGTAGTTTCTACAGGTCAGTTACAGAAATGCAGTCCCTTGGCTTCAGTGAGATTTCATGGCTATAAGTAGCAGCACAATATTGGTAAACCTTTTTGTTTTTATTAAACTGTACTCCTTGAGCTGTGATATTAGCATGGTTTTTTTGCTATCTGTTGTCTTCAATGACAATGGTTCTTCTAGGGTAGGTATCAATGTCCACAAATATGTAACGGAACTCATATCTTCCATTTTCAGGATTCTGTAATGAGAAAAAAATATTTCACGGTGTGCTTTTGTTTATTTTCTTTGCATTAGTTTAAATATCAAGTAATCCTTGTGGACTATCTTAACTTGTTGAGACAATCATATATACCTCTTTCATTTCCACATGGACTGTTCCTTGCTTTCCTCGTTCTGAGCCCTCAATGTAGAACTTCAGACGCATGTACTTCAATTCATCTTTTACGTATTCAATGTGACTGAGAAAAGGAACAAAACACCATATGGCACATTATGTATTTAAGTTTGAAAGGCCATGGAAATTCCAAGCACATAAGTGAATGGAGCATCTTTGATAGCAGTTTTGTACAATGCATGGACTTCCCTATGTTTAAACGTTAGACCTGATTATCTAGAGAAAAGGGAAAACTCAAGCAAATCAACTGAAGCTTGTCTTACTTGCAATAGTTTGAGGGAAAGATTTCAGCCTGCTCTGCTTTCCTCTCCCCTTGTTCCTCCTATTTTAATGTATTTTTAAAATGTATTATTTATATAAGTTACATTTAACAAAAAAAAAAGTTTGCGGAGCTCCACTAGGAGAGAACATATCCAGAGCTTGTAGGAGGCACTGGAGGTACTGTGGATTCTTTTCAACTTTTCCCAAAACGCCTAAGATAACTGGCTCAAATCCATCATGTAAGACCCTGAAATGCCAACACCACTTACTGAATGACATCAATACACAAATTCACTTTCCTTCAAAACACAACATTTTTCAGTGCCGCCAGTAGGTACCTGCCAAACTCTCGCCATGCATTGCATAGGGAATTTAGAGGCTCCTACAGATGTGCAGGGAGCCTGCTCCGACGCGCTGGAAATCCAGACTTAATCAAGTCCACCGGAGCATGGAAATTGATGCGCTCTGGCATCCTTCTGTATCATGTGATCAGCGTCCCTGCACTGAAAAAATGGCAGCAGAGCGCTTTGAAATAAAACATGTTGGATGAGCTTTAGTTCAAAGCACCCAGTGCCATTTTTTTCAGTGCAGCTTGCTAAAGTGCCCAGCACCACGTCCCAGA